GCATTTTGTGCGTTTGGGTGAGTGTAGTAAGTGAATAAAAAAGTACTATTGTGGAAAAGTTTTTTAATAATAACTTTTGATCGGGTAAAAAAAGTTAATTTCCGCATTCGGAATCTTGTTATTGGGGTACGGACGCGTCTAAAACTATGTTCACATTACCAACATAAAATACTTAGTTTCGTTTAAAATACCTCACTAAATTAAGTGCGTTCATACACGCGATTCTTTATTTGTCTTGACAGCTTTGTAGCAACCCTGTGTTATTGTGTATTTAACCAAAAGAGATCGCGAATGTGAGTAATTGCGTATATTTTTATATTCTGAGTTGTTTGTGGTAATTTTTTAGATTTTAGATGAGTGATAAAAAGAGAAAGCTGCTGGAAATATTTTACAAATTACCACGCGCGATTATTAAAAACAAAAACGTCCAAACACAATGACATATCAGTTATGGGGCAATACTTTTTTCGATTATTATCGATAAAATTAGAACCGACACTGATTTGTTCGTGATTTGGTTCTTGGTTTAAGATAAACTACGTACTTTCAACTTAATTTACTGAGAGACTTTACAAGGCGAAATTACTTAGTTTGTACTTAATTTATGCGTAAATTAAGATTGATCTCTAAATTCCGCCAATGGGAACATAGTTTAATGGTACCTCCTTTCCAAAATTTTGACCAATTTTTGGGGCAAGGCGAATTTATACAAGGTGGTGTTGATGGCGAATTTAGATTTTCGCCGTGGTACTTTCTTGTGTCAAAATAGTGTGTTTGTTGTAATATGAATTCGCCTTGTTTACAACAAACACATAATTTTGACATTAGGAAGTACCGCGGCGAAAATCTAAATTCGCCATCAACACCACCTTGTATAAATTCGCCTTGTTTTGCATGAACCAAAAATACAAGATCACGTAAGAACGCGACGTTGTATTTGTAACTGGTTTTGAGAAAAAAGTTTGCGAAAGCGGGTTCGTCAGCTGAGCGTTTGTTTACATCACAAGCACCACTATTTTACATTTTTATTCAAGTAAAGAAGAGTTAATTCAACATGACAACACATTTTGAAGCATTTTGTTGCATCATTTTACCTAAATTGTGCGTTTAAAGTGGCTGACAATAATTTTGGTTTTCGTTGTTTTCTTTGCTTTGTTTACTTTTCGCACGTTTTCCAGTGAAACAAGATGGCGTAGAACCCGCAAAAAATCGACTTTTTTACTCTCTTGTTCTTACGTGATCTTGTGTCTTTCGTTCATGCTTGTTTTGGGGGTTGAAAGCCCACTTAGGCTTTCTGCACATTGGTCGTCCAATCATAGTTGCTTCATCGTCACAATCATGATGCAACGATTACATGACGACTACACTTTCACACACTCGGTCGTGATATTTCAATTCATTTGGCGCCTAAAAATTCACTTGGAGCAGGTATTTTCTGTTTTTCTAGTTGATATTTTCGCGAAATATTTACAAAAACCTGCAATTTTTAAAATATTGACTGTGCTGCAACAATTCTAGACATAATTTTTCAGTAATATCTCTTCTTTTCTTTTCCTGAAATGTGTTTTGTGCATGCACACAGAGACTTTTTACAATTTCGTCATATTTTATAGTTAAAACGCTCACATTTATTGAATTTTAATGCAATTATCGACTTTTTAATAATTTCTACAGATTTTATGCAAAAAATACTAATTTTTATGCAATTTTAATGCAAATATTAACTTTTTCACGAATTTTTCCCCATAAAATGTAAACAAATAGTGCGTGCACAACGATTAGCAAACGACAGTGCCGTACTTATCCGTTTCTGCATCTTCTACGATTTGCCGATAACTAGCCGATAACGACAAGTGTGCAGATCTCCTTTGAAATGCATGTGCTCGGCTCAAAATTTCAGGGCGAGACGATAAAGGCCGGTCCACATAGAACTTTCGTGTTAGCTTTGGCGTTGGCGTTGGTTTGACAGAACGCACGTTAAAAGTATGCTTGCTACAATGAGCGCTTGGCAGCGAATGCTTGGGCCACTACATTAATATACTAACGACAGATAAATTAATATTTCATATCAATAATTGCATTAAAAACGATATTTCTTGCCCGCACTTGATTAAAAAGGAAAATATTTCACATAATTTTATTTATTTGCAACAGCTGACGAGCGACGCACGCGAAAAGATGAGAGTTGGCCATCTTTTTGCTTTGTGTTGGCGTGAGCGTTGTCGAATTTTGGCTATGTGGACGGCTGCATTTGAATTCATGTATTCATAGTCAGCTGTTGAAGCGACGCCAACGCCAACGCAACGCCAAAGTTCTATGTGGACGGGCCTTAACGCAACTACGATTGGACGACAAGTGTGCAGATAGCCTTAGTCACCTTTCAGACACGTCAAGCCTTGCTTTCAAGTCTGCTCGTTCGTAGGCGAAGGAGGTGAGAAGAGAGGGGAAGAGTACAGATACCACCGTACCGTCAATTCGTTTCAAGTTTTCTTGTCTCTTTTAATCTTTTCGTTGCTTCCCATTTAAGCTGAAATTAGTCAAGAACGTAAACCTACCGGTACGTAAACCCGAGTCAGCTGACACGATCTGTCTTACCAAAGCGCCACGTAAATTAAAACTCAACACCGCAGAATTTTTCTGTAGTTGTAGCCCGTAGCGCAGAAATCTGCGGAATTTAGATTTTTCCGTGTCAGCTGATTTCTCCTTCTTTAGTTGGTCGCCACTTCGTCAGTTTTACAGATGGTAAAAAAGATATAAGTTCCTATTCAAATTATGTTTAAAATATTTGAAATTTACTATTGAATAAATTTTTGTTGAAAACTAAGTAGTTTATATTTAGCTAAAATCTATTATAGCACGAAAAATTGTAGTTGAAAGGGTAAGTTTATGAAAAGACATTGATGAGTGGCAACAGTGTAGTAAGCAACACTGAGGGCTCCAGTAATCGACAAAATTCTGCGTATACAGACTGCGTTTAAGTATACGTTCTGCGTTCTCGACTAATTTCAGCTTTAAAGAACCATGGACTTCAATTAGATAATTACCTTTTTCTTTAGTGTTTTTCAAATGGAAAACATGGCAACACTGACCATACATTTGTTCTCTCCGCTTTTGCTGTGTATTCGCGACTTGGTTCATTTCCAATAGCCTATAATTCTATCTTTGAGTACTCAAGCCAAGTGTGCATTAATTAAATAAACCAGAGTGGCAATCGCAACCATATTGCAAGCTATTATTTTACAGCAACTAAAATCTGAACCACAGTCACAACAAGCCAAAGGCGAGTGGCGCCACAAAGCGGCGAGAGAAGCTTTGGATTTTCTTTTAACTCTTTGTTTCGGTTCGAAGCGGAAGCCGTCCCCGCGCAGTCGTCTATGCACGGGTATAATTGCAATTATCAAGCAGTGAATCAGCTTTTCGTCGCAGTGGAACATATCAGTCTTTGTGTGGCCGCGAAATGCAGTAGTTCATGTTTACTTAACTTGTACTCTTATTAAATTAAACACGAGCCTTGTTCCAGAACCGAGGCTCATTTGTTGAGCAACAAAAGCAAAGCGTTTAGTGCAAAAGTCGAAAAAATTAAGAAAATAAACCTAGTGCCTTAGTATTACTTGCGAATCTTTATCAAAATGAAACGGTCTTTGATTGCTACAGTTTTGCTGTCGTTAGCATTTTTGGCTGTTGACGTCAACAATGTATACGGTAGCCCTTCTGATTCCGACATCGACTTAAGCCAAATAAATGTTAATGACCTGCAACAAAAACTGCCAGCAGAGTTGGCCAATACGAATCTTACTCTGGACGATGCTAAAACTCTAGTCCGCGATAAATGCATTGAAGTGGCTGGCAAAGAAAACGGCGAAGCAGCTTATGCCGAAATAGAAAACGCTGTATCAACCTTAACAGAATGCGCTACGAACATATTGAACTTCACTGCTATTCAGGTTGAAATTGATGAGGCCAGTCCAAAGGGTGAGCTGGATGTGGTATTCAACAAATACTGCAACAAACAGCCTCAAGCTCTTGCTTGCTTTGAAGCATTCAACAGCAAGTTAGCAGCATGCTTGGATAATGAAGAAAAAGAGCATCAGGAAGTGTTCATGCGCATCGTACGCAGTCTTTTAAGCTTTATATGTCACAAAGGAGGCGACCAGATAGCGCTCTTCATTGCTGAAAAGGGTCCGGAATGTCTAGATTCAAAAAAAGATGATATTCAGAAGTGCGTCAATAGCACTTTCGCAGGATATGTTCCCCAGAATGGACTCAGTGACATAAAAACACTACCCAAATTTGTGATGGGTACTAAACAATGTGAAGAAATGGAGGATTTAGAAAATTGCATTGTTGAGAAACTGGAAAAATGTAGTGAAATTACACCTGCTAATATTGTAGAATCAATGTTCAGATTTATTAAAAATGAAACGATCTGCCACAGTACTCCCCGCGTAGCAAAACAATCATCATGGACCAGTGGCGTTAATAGCGCTGTGATGTTACAACAGCTAGGTGGTGTATCATGGATGCTGGGCGCCAGTTTATTCTACCAGCTAATAAAACTTGTCCAAGTGTAGGCATGTTTGGCATCCGTAAATTAAACTCAAAAATAATGCGGTGTACAAAATGAACCCTAAAATATGTACGTGATTTCACTATTTAATCCCCTTCTGCATAAAAATGTTTTATTTTTTTATTTGTACGAACTTGTGAGTGCACAGGTAAAGCGGATGTATTTAGAGCTAAAAAAATATTGTAAACAGGGTACATATGTATGTACATTAGCGTGGTCCTTAAATGTAGGAAGCAAATTTTTACATCAGATTTCCTAAGCCTCAACTACTACGTCGATGCTACTATTGTCGAAGATATCTCATATAAATTTTGGTCCCGATTGGAGATTGTTAAGGCGTGTCGCACAGGGGTCAAATTTCAGATTCATCTATGTAGATTCAAAAAATTAAAATTAATTTTTTTTCATCTAATACCCCAAATCGATACTACCGTAGTCGAAGATATCGCATATAAATTTTGCGTTGGTTACGGCGTGTTGCACAGGGGTCAAAATTAGATTACCCTATGAAGACGTCTTAACTGACTCCAATCGGGACATACATATATATATATAGTATCGATATTGGGTATTAAATGAAAAAAATATTTTTAATTTCTTTAGTCCATGGAGGCATCTGGCCTTTGACCTCTTTGCGACACGCCCTAACCGACTCCAATCGCGACCAAAGTTTATAGTTGATATTTTCGACTATGATACTACCGATTTTGGATATTAGATGAAAAAAACTTAATTTTAATTTTTTAATCTCTATAGAGGAATGTGTACTTTTCTCTTTGTGCGACACGCCTTAAACCTCTCCAATCGGTACCAAAATCTATATTTGATATCTATGACCGTGGTATTACCGATTGAGGGGGTGAGACTGAAAAAAATCGTGTATTTGATTTTTTACGGACCACCCTAATGTACATGTATCAAAAATGCACAGCAAAGAAACGTACGCATTTTCGGTATTAAACGATAGTAATTCTACAAGTACTCTGTATTTCACTTTACATAATTTTGGCACGAATTTATATTTTAATTTAATCAACCTTTATAAGAGTAGCTCTGATCCCGCTTTGCAAAATTGCGCCAAATATACATATACATATTGCTAGTAATAAAAAGTAAAATGATTCGGGAGTAGAGGTTAATGTTTTTATACAAAGCACATCTTTATTTTATTCGAATTTGGTTATAAAAACTTAAGTAGAATTGTTCCACTCCTAAAAAGCACCATTAAATTATGTAAGGTCAGAACAAAATATATTTTGTATTGAAACAAGATAGAAGCGATAACACTTCGTAAATATACATACTTATAAATATAGTCGCATACAAAACAGAATACTTTTACACTCATGCGTATGTACATGCATATGCATATGTATGTTAAAATTGGGATGCATATACATACCTACATATGTAAGTACATATATGTATGTATGTACATATATGTATGTATGCACATATATGTATGTATGTACATATATGCATGTATGTACTCGGGTATGTATACATTACCATATGTTGTGCAAAAAATAATCAGAACGTGTGTATTTATAACTAAGTAGATGGTTTGTACTTTTGTTAGCGACTAAGTGTAAAGAGTAATTATTAGTATTTCTGTAATTGAAATTGATTTATTTGAATAAAGTGAAATAAACCCATACGTACGTACATATTTATCGGGGGCGTCCACTTAAGGGAAGAACCGTTAATTATTTAAAACATAGATATGTATGTATGTACGTAGATAAGTACATACATACATATATGTGTATATAACTACGACAAATTTTCTCGCTCTCGCTTACTGCAAATACTTTTTTTTCAAACGGGATAGATTATACTTTATTATTATTGTTATACGAATAATAAGTCGTATGTACTTAATTACGGCTAGGTATGTATGTATATGTGTAGTATATGTAATTTTGAACTTTGCCCAGTTTTGATTCAGCTTCTCATGTTGAAATGCTTTGTGTTTTACGCTTTCAAACTGGTTCGCTGTTTTTGTTGTAGCAGCCTCAAGCGGGGTACTCACGACAAACTTGTCAGGCAAATCTGTTTGAAGACGGTTGAGCACTCACGGCAAACCGATTTGCAAACCTTCATTTCGGCTGACTTAATATATATATATATATCTGATGATCCACTGATCGGATCTTAACCAGATTAGTATGGGACCACCTCTGAGACACTACCTTTCCGAAAACCGATGATTTCGACATCATGCATGTAACATGTGGTCGATAAAGCAGTAGTTCTGCTTAACCGGAGCTTCTACCTCCGATTTGTGCTAATCAGACATTGAACAACCGGCCCTTAACCAGAAAGGATCGATAAAGCAGTTGTATTTAACCGGAGCTTCTACCTCCGATTTTTGTTAATTAGACAATTGAATGACAGCTGAACTTGCAAGGTTTAAGGCCGGTTGTTCAATGTCTGATTAGCACTAATCGGAGGTAGAAGCTCTGGTTAAATACAACGACTGCTTTATCGATCACATGTTATATGCATGATGTCGAAAACGTCAATAATGATGTTTAACCGGCAAGTAGTGATAACCAGACATTGAACAACCGGCCTTTAGGGTCGGTTGCTCAAAGCCTGGTTGACACTAATCATAGGTTAACATCAACACGGTGTCGGTAATGTCGATAACGATGTCTAACCGGGGATGAGTGTCAACCAGGCTTTGAGCAACCGGCCCTTAGAGCCGTTTGTTCAATGTCTGATTAGCACAAATCGGAGGTAGAAGCTCCGGTTAAGAACAACTACTGCTTTATCGATCACATGTTACATACATGGTGTCGAAATCGTAGTTAGTGTAGTGGTAGTGATAACCAGACATTGAACAATCGGCCCTTAGAGGATTTATAATGGATAAACTTTTACTAGTAACTATTTTCTAGTAAGAAAAATAGCTGATGGCATGATGCTTAATGCAATTCACATTACCAAAAGAACTGTTTGTGGTGCTTTTAGGACCGTTTTCACCAACTCTGGTTAACACTAATCGCATGAACGAATGACATAAGATCACGTAAGAACAAGAGGGTGAAAAAAATTGATTTTTTGAGCGGGTTCTACGCCATCTTCTTTCACTGGAAAACGAGCGAAAAGTAAACAAAGCAAAGAAAACAGCGAAAACCAAAATTATTGTCAGCCACTTTAAGGGCCGGTTGTTCAATGTCTGATTAGCACAAATCGGAGGTAGAAGCTCCGGTTAAGCACAACTACTGCTTTATCGATCACATGTTACATGCATGATGTCGAAATCGTCG